ATTTGACATTTTTAAGTAAATACTAGACATGCTTCTAGTCAACTCAAATAATGGACTGGTAATTATTGGTGATCTGAATTGCGATGTTAAATCACTGACACTCCTTGTTACACTAACAGGTTAAATGAAATTACGTCTAATCATCATCTTAAATTGTTAATTAATGAATCAACAAGAATTACAAATAATACCTCAGCCCTGATAGACATATATGTATGCCTCTAATCTAGAGAAAGTAAAGGCTAGTGTTTTAATACACAGTGGTCTAGTGATCATTCTATAATATATGTTGTAATTGGTAAACAAAAGAAAACTGTCAATAATCACAGTTATAAAACAAGTAGGAGCTTCAAAAACCTTAACGAATTAAATTTCAAACTAGATTTATTAAATGTAAATTGGATGGAAATTTCTAGACAAAATGTAGATGATGCTCCTATAAGACTTTGAAAACAAATTCCTCAAAGTGGCCAACAAACATGCACCAGTCAGAAAAAGAAGAGTGATACATAAACAAAGCCCTTGGTTAACCAAAGACTTGCTGAAATGCATGCAAGAAAGGAATGCATCCAAACAGAAGCTATCAGGAAAAACAATACACAATTTTGGGATGTATAACGAGCTAAAAGAAACTAAGTTAATTCTAAACTTAAACAATGCAAAAAAGAATATTTTTCAGATACAGTAGCTTAATACCAAAAACCCCAAAAGATCTGGGAAAACATAAGACTTATTGTCCCCGGTAAAATTTTCTTTTGTAATTAGTCTATTTTTACAATTTTGTTTTAATTTCTGTTGTTGGGTTTTACAATGCCTTTATGGCCTTGTAAAAAAACACTATTGTGGTGAACAAGTGTTTCCTTAGCTAAATAATTTTTTTTTATTATATTAGAATACTAAACTGCAAAGTTTTAGGTATCAAATGGAGGAATAAATTTGGGACCAAATTAAGGATAATGTGGAAATAAGCTGTATAAATTTCTTTGAAAATGAAACAGAAATTGAGTCAGATTATTGAATAAATGCTTAGGAAGCCTTCAATACTCTATCATGTATAGAGTATTTGTATTAGAAATTTTGAATGATCATAAACACCTTTACTGCAATCTATAAATAATAAAGTACAACTGAGGGGCATCACTACAGTGTTCTCATACAGTAGACAATAAAGCCTTGTTTGTGTACTGTACAGTAAATCATCAACTGTTGGAAAACCAGGCAATGCAACAACCAATTTACCAAAAAGATTTATATCTTAAAAATAGTGCATTTCATTATATTTCTCAACGAAGTTTATTCAAGGATGCATGTCAATCATTTTTGGAACTATTTGAGACTTACACTGACAATGTCCAATCTTTGAGCACAATCTAACCCCCATACCACCCCACATTTTCAGGTCCCAAAAGTGGTTTCAAATTCAAGAGCAAATGTATAACTGTAAATAGTTGGTCCTAAATGTTGAGCAAAATGTATGAAATTACACAGAATGAAAATATGAACGATAAACAAAAATTTAAATTTAAATATATTAAACTTATAAAAAATACAGCTATTTTATTGTGTATTAAATGTAGAAATTAGGTTAAATAAATGGCATTCTTTTAGATTTTGCTCAAGTATTCTAAAAAAAGTACTTTCAAGAAGTGAATCCATTTTAAGATTGTTGGATTCAGAGGAATACATTTTCTACTCCTGAGTTTAGTGACATTTCCATTGTGGAAGTACAGTAGCTATTTTTTCCTAATGATTATTGCTCCAAACTGCTTTCATCTCATACAGTAGTTTTAAAAGTCAAAATAAGAATATTTTATCTCTTTAAGTTCTTAATCTTATTTTGAACTCCAAGAAACCTTTTCATGTCTTCAGAATGAACAATTATTGCAGAAATTGGCAGAATTTCCAGTTTGGTTTGAACTTTTCATAATGTAAACAAATCACCTTGCCTTTGGATGGGGCTATTTGAATGTAGGTCATATAAACTAAGGACAGACAGATTAGAGGAAGAAACTGCCCGTACTGGCGGTCAATAGTGTTCTTGTTTCATAATTTTTTTTAAAGCTTTATATTCTCAACATCATACAATGCCCTTTTCATTGGTTCTCTATGCTTCAGCCAACTCTATGAAATGCGGATTCTTCCATTATGTCAGAGGGTTCAGATATAATCACCATCAACATGAAAATCATCATATTGTATGTTTCAATAGCATACAGTATGTCAAATAAAATTTTATTTCAAATATCATTATGTTTTATCCCATGTGAAAGCATTTTTAAAACAGAATGAGCTACCTTGGTAAAACATTGACAATGAACTAATTCTATACTAGGAATACCATATCGCATACATTTCACTTTTACTCATTATAATAGTGAGACAGTATTATATAAATATAACATTGTTATTATACTCAATATCAATTTCAAAGAAATTCTCCAGGTGATTCAAACCAAGAGCAGAGGGTGTAAAAATAATAATGACTAAATTACCAAAACCATTATAAATATTCTCTGAAACCTAATAATACAACAACAAAAAACAAAAAAACATTCTACTATATGGATACAAGTAGAAAAGCCAGCACCTACTGTTCACAGTAGACTTAGCTATTCATTATTGTCTATTATTGATTCTTTCTTGCCAGTGTGAAGTTGAATAATAAATAAAAATTCACAGTCTGTTATGTTATAGTAATAATAAAACATTAACAAAAAATTAAAAAATTAAATTTTCCAGTAAAAGAATTAAAATATTCAACTGAATTATTAAGAATGGACTCATTTGAATTTTTGTTTTTACAGGCAAAAACCACCACTCTCATCTAATTTACCTCTACAATATTTTTGAAAATCAAAACAAAGGCTCTCACTAATTGGAAAGATATCGTATTATTATATAATAAATAGATCTACCATTTCAACACTTCCCTATGAGTATTTAGGAAACCTGGACTACAGTTTATGTTTATGTCTTTCCTTTCGGTTTTCAAGCACAAGCCAAGTCTTTATTCATTGTAGAACTCTGGTGTTTGATACAATACCTCCAAAAACTATCTAGGTACAGTATTTTTCTTAGGTCTTTAAAAAAATATATTTCATTATATATGTTATTTTGTTTCGTGGTTTTGCAGTTTTAACCCAGACTACTCAACTCACAGCTGTTATTTGATGTCCTATTCAATAATACCAAAAAATATAAAAATATATAATATGCATCATAAGAAATTATTTTTTGTTAATAACCAATGTAAACACCCTGAGCTCACCAGATTAACTTTTATATTTAAATAAAAGAAGATAATTACAATATTAATTTTGATTGTGTTTTAGTTTCACTAGTTCCATTATAGAAACATAATCTAATTGCTACATTTTTTACCTAGAATTATAAAATACTTTTAATACAGAAACTATATCAAGTGATGTACTGTATACTATTAAAGCTTGATGCCTAACTTGAATAGGTTACTTTTCTATAGAAGATGTTCATTTACAACTAACTCTCTTTAATTTTGATACCAGGGTAACAGTACATGTTTAAAGCCTTCCATTTATCTTTAATCTTACATTTTTCATATTATTGTCATAAATGGTGTAAACCAGACTGCACTGAGCTTGTACAGCTGTAGCGTCCATGGAGTACAGTAGAAAACTTCTATTGTGACATTCAATGTACAGTAGACAAATACATTCCCTAAGGTATCTACGATAAGTAGGACAGTCAATGGATGAACTCGAAGTATTTCATTAAATATACATGAAACTATTATAGAATTCGAAGAACATGAACAAAGTAATCCTGGTAAGCCACAACCAAAAAAACCACCCAAAAAATCTATTGCTAAATGCCAAAAAATGCAGTAGAAGATGATGGTGACCTTATATTGACCTGAAGAAAAGGCATTACTTATAGCTTTAATCATAGCTTTAAGCATTACAAGCTCAAGATATTTATAGCTACAATTGGTTGTCAAAACTGTATTTTTAAGCTCATTAGAGAGAAACATAGAATAATCCAGATGCTTTAAACAAAGGTGATACTGTAGTTTGCATGCATCTACATAGGGCAAAACTTCTACAGTATAATGTTGGGTTGGTCATTAAAATGCCAAGCCTTCAAATTTGAGGGTCCTATGTTCAAATCCTGTAATAGGAATTTTTCTGACAACCAAAAAAATTACACTCTCTGAGTTATGAGAATGTATAGCATCATGTGATTATGTTTGGCAAATGAAAGGGTTTTCTCCAGACAGCAAGTTTTTCTACCATGGAGTTATACAATTTTAAAACTTCATGTTTTCACAAAATCATCTAGAAAATACTTCAAAAGTTTAAACATGATCAACCACACCTGATCAAAACAACCTGAATTAAGCATCTCTTTTAAGTATACCATAACTAAAGTACTACATAACAAACTCATAATAAAGATATAATAAAAAATAACCTTGAATAAACAATTTTAAAAGTGAAACTCATTAACATTAACTTCCTGCAAAAACAGCACCATTTTCTAGCATGGATGCCAAACAACAGTGTAATAAACTAAAATGTGATTTTGTGCTTGTTAGCTTAATACAATGGAGTTGCTAATTTTTGGAAATTATTGACATAATTTGTTTCTAATGGAATTAACAGAGCAATTTTGTTCATACACTCTAATTATCATCAACAGTGCATGTCATGCCACTGCTTGTGAATCATAAATTTAAAGTTTTAAATTTGAAATTATCTGTGTGTAATAATATTGTTGTTTGAAAAGGGAGGTCTTCAAACTCTACATTTCACTTTAAACTAAAGTTGTCCATACCCATCCAAATCAGAAAAGGTCCACATTTTTAAGACAGTCGAGAATGTATACAGATATAAAAAATAGTTAAGATATGTGCACTGTACATGTCATTCAGATTAGGATAAAAAGATAATGATGACAATGAAAATGAAAATGATGACCATGATGATGATGATGATGATGATGATAATAATGATGGTGATATGATATGAAAATTATGATGATGGTCAACATCATGACTGAAGACGATTGATGGGCATGTAGATAATGATGGCAATTTTTATCTGGTCCAACACCAAACTCTGATTTAATTGAACAAAAATTACAAAACAATTTATCAATATCATTAATATATCATACAGTAGATTATATCATCTGAAAATTGCAAAGTACATTATCATTGGAGTTAAAATATATAATCCAATCCAGTTGATAGCATGTGCTTTTAAAAGGAAAGCAGCAGTCATATACAATTTTTCATGGATTAAGCTCAATTATGTGGGTAGGTACGAACATGCAATGGACACATATTGTGTGTGCTACAAATTACAGTTGGCATGTCCATTCTAGTGTTGTTAATACACTACCGTACATAAATCTAACTATTATTATCTGCCATTCCTGAAGAGAGCAGGCATCACAACCATCTATCATTAGCATACCTCTCTCACAAGTTGATGTCATATTTCATGTCCACATTTATAATTTAATATACAGTAGGCCTACTGATTAGCGGAGATTACCAATACAATAGCAAAATATTCATATCAAGAGCTTGTAGAATAGCGAATCGTGAAATATAGTAGACTTACTTTTCCAGACCAAGCTAAGCACGGGCATAGGTTTGAGATGACTGACTTAACGGATGTATACTCCCACATACCAACTGACGTTAACAAAAATCCTAAGAAATGCTAAGCATGAAGATAAACGTATCAACATCTCCTACATAACTGCTATAATAATACTATAATGATTAAGCTTGTATAATAGTGTTGTTGGCAAAGACCTCAAGTCTGTGTAAATCCTGGTTGGTGATGACGAGTTGATTTTAAGCTAATAGGAATGGTGGTCTGACAATAGGTTAGGAGATCCTCTTTCACACGCACGTGGGAAATGTGCCTACCTCCTAACACAGGAATCTAAACCTATATGATTCAACAGTGCAGTATGGCCATAAGGCAGACAAGGAATATGGGGAAATGTATAATGTGACATCCACAGACCTACAGCAAATTGTTATTGTTAAGCTTGTATTCCATTATTATTTTTATTATTATTTATTATTATTATTACTATTACTATTATTTATTTATTTATTATTATTATTATTATTATTATTATTATTATTATTATTATTTATTATCTATTAATTATTATTATTATTATTATTATTATTATCATCATACAATCACTACACTACTTTTTTTATATATATATACTGTAAAGGTAAGGTTTGGAGATTTTAAAATACATTCATGTGATTAAGGAAAGTATAAAATGTTTGAAATACACATAGGCTTCACATGTACAATTAATAATTCACAGCTGCTAACACACATTCTGTTAAATCAAAAGACAACCAAACAAATGACGGTAGTAATATGTATGTTAAACTGGTATATTAAAAATATATATATTAAAGCAAAAGAAACAAAAATTAAGAATATACAATATATACAGTACTATATACATGAGACATCTATGTAATTTTCTATGGCATTGTCTTTAACATGGATATATCAATTACTGCAAAACCCCAACAACATTGTAAATATACAAAACCTTAATTAAAAAAACTATAATGTTTACACCTCACATCATTTACAATATTTTTATGGCTATGCACATATAATGATTATTACTGTGGGTTGTTGGCTCTGTGGTATATCTCTAAATTAGAGTCTCTGAGAAACGATTACATCACGATAGGATCATTTCCTTAATTGCGCGCTGAGTGGGTCTACATTACTTTTGCACAAACAGCTGCAGAACGTGCAAATCCATGTCTCTCCGCACTCAATAGTTTATTAATGTCATGGAATTTTGTACAGTACATTAATTTATGGTTATCAATGTTCATGTAACTTTAACTCCAACTTTCTAACACTAGTGATTAAATTTCAATATTCCATATTTCAAACCTGATTAATTATAGTTTTGTGAATGAACAGATAAATGAATAAAAAATTATTCTACACTAACTATATAAAAAGACATTTGTACAGTAGTTCTATAGGCACAAAGCAATATTTTAACTTAAAAATAAACTGCAGATGATTTTTTTTTACCAGTCTTTTCAACCTCAATTTAATAATTGTACCCAAAAGACTTCTATCCATTGTTTGTATAGTGTTAATGCACAGCAGTATAGCATATTCAAAGCATATGTTTATAGACATAATGGAAAAAATGCTTCCTTCTGCTATCAAAATTGTTATATTAAAAATAACAATAAGCAAGTGCATAGTATTTGTTTCGTATACAATGCTGTTATTTTTGTGTCTAATAGTCTCACACTAGACCCCTGTTGGTGGTGAAACCATGTTTCCACTTCCATAATACAGTATAATGTAAAATTATAGGGCTGTTGTTGAGTATATAAAGCCTGCGAAATACTGAGCAAAGATCCTGTAAGTATAACACACATGGAAGAAGATGAATACATTTATGCTGGCAAATAACGCTGCAAAACTTACCCCACTGTCAGGGAAAATTTTCCGTACATCTGTACGTGAGGAATGCGATCCTGTAAGAACTATCGATTCTCGTTTTATTCGTATTGTTTCGTTGAGCACGGCAACCCTCTTTCTCACAGCTTCGGCTTGAGAACGTGTCAACGATGATGTCACTTCTCGTAAACTGGCATCATCAAGCTCATTACCATCTAAATTAAGAAAAATTTCTCTATATATTTAAAAAAAAATTATATTTATAATAGTGATCATGCAACATACAGTAGACGTATTTAGAAATAAACTGTAAACACATATTATCATGCTTCATTAAGCACATCACAGTTAAGTAGCACTTGATATTGTAAGTATGTGCTCAATGCACTAAGTTCAAGATTTAATGGTTGTGTTTATAACTATATTCTTGATATAGCACTTGTTGGTAAAAAAATCAGCTAGCACGTACAGCCAACTTCAGTTGAGACACAAATCGGAAAAACCAAACCTGTATGGGGTTTCCAAATTGGTATACAGCAGTACTGTATATTAAATAATTCACTTTAAGTTATTATGTATAAGCAATGCAATTCAATAAAAGGACGCACATCTCCGCTCTCGAATATAGCATGTGCGTACAGTCCTTGATCTTTTCTGTGGCATTGACAACCTGATACTAGTTGCGAATACAGCTGTCAATTATTAGTCTATGCGTGCCATGCGTTTTATGGTGTTAGTTACTAGTTTATTAATTTTTGGTACTTCGCATTGTCTGTTACATCTGATTTCCTTTGACCCCCAGCTTGTTAAATAATTCTATAAACTACAATTTGATTCATGAAAATTGACCAACACAATGAAAAGTTTAATATAGCAATTGAAAATTTACGATATTTACAAAATTTCATGTTCATAAATAACATTAAACTGTCATTTTGACAATGTTGGACTAAGGTGCACAAAACGAACATTTGAGTATATACAGAAAATTTATTTATTTTTTCTGCGAAGCAAGTCTCATGAACAACAATACACCACAACATCAGTAAAATTAATGTTGAAATAACGAATATAATTTCAGTCTAATGTTAGTGCAAAATATCATTAGGCCTTTGTAATCACCGCAAGATGCGCGATAATCATGGCAAATAACACGCACGTGGGTAATTCGTCACACGCTGACGGTTAATTACGGTTTGGTTGCTATGGTTTTTGTGAAGATCAGCGTGTCGGGGCATGCAGCGCGTAGAATGTCGATGCCAGAGTTATATATTTGATGTCCCGATATGTACTTCCCTTTGTTTAATTGCCTTGGTATAAGCCCATTTCCAAATGTTTGCCTTAAAATTAAAAAATCAGTATTGTTATTTATTTTTTATATTACATTAGAAAAAGATGTACAGTACAGTAATTATGTAATAAATGTTACCTTTAAATTTATGTGTCAGCTGATGGAAGCCAGCTTCCTTGAGCCAATGGACTTCTTCTTCTCCATCTAGAGGGCGACAAACAATATACAGTAGTTTGAATGTTTTATATTATATATTTTAAGTAGAAAAATACAATATATTACTTCGTTCGATGCAAGGAGATTACTTTCTAGTTGACAATATTTAAAGGCAAAGAGGGTACCAACATCATTCCCATCAATTGTACAGTATGAAACATGAACAAATGCAAGGTAGTTACTTTTAGATCATTGCTTATACAGGTTCTTCCCTAACTACCCGGGCGAGGATTTGTGTTCTGGTGAATAGAAGCTAGTTTAAATGCAATATAACCGTGCTATGTTTAGACAGGTTTGTATGCAAGGTATATATTTTTAGATCATTGCTTCCAGGTTCTCCTTTGAATTTGCATGGCAAGGATTTGTGTTCTGAGGAATAGAAGCAAGTTTAAATGCAATATAAAAGTACTATGTTTGGACAAGATTGGACGTGAACTCATTGTCTTGGAGCCCTGAGCGAATTCTGTCAGGACGTGAACTCATGTCCATGACAGCTAACAGTTAACTATTGTACTTACCATACGGTAGGTAGATACGTTGTAACAACTACATACCAAAAATCTATTATCCATATCTATTTGTATATTTTTTAACTTACAGTACTTTGTTATTAAACAGAGTAGTGTGGAGTTAAACACAGAACGAGGAACGATTATTTATTTATTTATTCTGCCTTTAACGTTGCTGCTATAGAACTTGGCTAGGCCATTAACAGGGTCATCGCCAAGGTCATAAACTATAGTTTTGACACAGATCAAGGATACAACAAGTAAAATCCACTTAACAGAATAGACAAGCATTCAAACAAATAATTCTGTTAAAAGGCTAACAATCTTCATTTAAAACTGTAATACTACAAATTTCCCTATTGAACACAGAGACTGGCTGTGGTAAAATATGGAAAAACAATTTAAAATCCAATTAAAAAAAAGGATCAAGACAATAAGACACATACAGAAGCTAAGTTTTTCCTGCTTCTTTCTACTAAGAAAATCTGTAAATTATCGTCATCATTATTATCACATAATTATTATTGCTAAATATTGTTAATTATTAAATATTAGAACAGATTCATTTTGAAATTTAATTTCATTATGAATATATATGCAATTTTGTAAAAATTAATTCACATTCGTATAAAGAATGATTATTACAAATGATATTTGATATTTTGATAGGGATGATAACTTGTTGCCACAAAAACTTTAAAGTTTTTGGACAACAACTTACTGTTCCCATCAGGATATGAACCTACTGTAAGGTCCACTGATTATTATTTTGTTGTTTTACCTAATGGGCTACAGTTCACGGCCAATCTTGTATGCCTAACTAAATAAATAAAATAATATTCAATAATGACAAATACTTTGAGCGATAGCAAAAGGGCCTTCTAAAATGACATCATAAACCTGTATTATTGTATTAAACATTAATATTATATTACATATATCTACATACCCAAGGTAAAATATGCTATTCCTGAATAGTGTGTAAAAGGTTGGCAGCAGAATAGTGTCTGAGCCTTCCTAAGCATGGCTCTCAGCACTGATATCTCATGGCCTACAGATTTACAAAATTCTGTTTTGACTCAGGACTGTTTCCCACGGATTATCCTTCCTAATTGAGTCAATTGTATAGAAAAAAATCCACCGTGTGACACCAAATTTATCCATTTGAGCAATGAAATAATTAAATCGCAGACTTGCATTAGAGGTCATGTTAAAAATATGAAGAAAGGGAGCAGGTTAGCGCATCCAAGTCTTATGCAAATCAGCCAGCAACAAAGGAATACATAACCACAGCTTGACAACCCTTGCTTTTTCCAAATCTATGAGCTTCTGTCTGCGTACCACTGAACGATTTTGATTTATGCCTGCATTGAATATTAACAATAACGCTATTTTTGCATTCAGATACTGTCAATTCATAAGAGGTTTTACGAATGATATGTTGGTATTATATTGTTATTGTCTGTTTAAATATGGATATTCAAAAGAGTGGTACAGCAGTCAAATTGTGAAAACTGTATAGGAAATACAGTAAATTTTATTCTCACTTATACTAATAGTGACATTGGCAAATAATAAACCAATTATCCATAAACAAATGTAATCAAGAACCAATCTAGGGTACTGTATATTAACTAGCATTGAGCAAATAATATCTAATATGTGAATTGATTACCGGTATTGAAGTTGGATTGCTTTCAATTGAACATATAAAGACAATATTTTCCCAGCTAATTATAGTTTTTGACTCTAGAATCTAGACTCATGGTTTTCTTATTTGATCTGTTTCATCGAAGTCAATCTGTCCATGTTTTCAAATTTGTGATGTGCCTATAAATGGCCATGATACATTAATGTCATTACACCCTAAAAATATGGGCATATCACATTTATTTGTCGCATAAATTTGATATTATGGACGGAACTTAAATTAATTTTTAATTAAATGAGCAAATACGTTTTACTTGCTTTTTTGACAGGCTTTTTTTTTACTTTGCAATATAAAAAAAAATGTTTTGATATGTCAAAGAGTAAATTTAAAGAAGTAATAAACAAATTAGTACTGTACCAACTAATGTACATTACTACATAAGTTTTCTTTTGATTGATTGATAGATTGAATAAATATTATACTACATATACGAAACTGGCAAAATATTGGGTAGTACATTAGCATATAGGTATTTATGATACCTCCATGGTAGTAGAAAGCTGTATGAATGGCTTGACTTAAGTACTTTGTAGCACCATATACAGTAAATATAAAGTTAGAACATAAAATGTAGATAAATAGCATTTAATACATTTTGTAACTTTACAGTAATTGGCTAACAATCAATAGAGTACCGTAAATGCTCAAATAAGCGTCGCCTTTGAATAAGCGCCACAGCGCTTAATCAAGAGTATACAGTATATTAAACTGTGAGTACAGTAATGAAACACATTGAGAAAGAGGGTTTTAAATACATAGGCTATACAGTGTTAAAATGAATAAATAACACAATGAAGACAAAATAATTTCTTTATAAACGTTTATTTACGATAATATAGTTCTGACCTATGATACAGTAGGCTTACTGAAGTACGGGAATACGTGAGATAGGTAACATGAGAATGGGCATGGAAAATATAGATTAGTCTACTGTATACAATTAATAGACAAAAGAGAGTATAAGATGATTAGATTAACAGAGTGCTACTTGAGATTTTAATAAATTCTCTTTTACAATTAGTATTATCGAGGACAATATGACAGCATTGAAATTCAACAACATATTATAATGAAGATAGATTACTACTATACACATTAAAAAATTGCGATTCCTAAATGGCGTGAAATGAGCTTCCCGACTTCTGAGGTGTCTTTTAATGACTTTTAATTTCTTCAAAATTCAATGTTTCCCCCCTCCCCCCTCTTGAAAACGGTCGGGTAAACTTTCGCATTCGTATTACAGCAAATAGGCCTATACACATACACATAAATAAGAAATTGAATAGTTGCATAAAGGCAGGTCGGCGGGGTCCTCTCCCAGAAAGATTTTGATACCTAGATGGCAGGAAGCGAGCTTTCCTGACTTCTAATTTTCCCATTGTAACAAAAAAAAAATTGAGCTCACAGGCCCTGAAATTGTTTTCTTTTTTTAAGTTTTAAATTTTTTATTTATTTTTTTTTTTTCCCAAGGGGGGGTCAGGACCCCCTGACCCCACCCCCCTCAGATCTGCCAATGCCTCTTATTCAACTATATACATCGCCACCTTTTCTCACTCATTAAACACTGTTAAACTGCAGAGGGGGCTATACAGTATCAACCGGTAGTTCAAGTATCTAAATTGAGCTAACTGTATATTAGTATGTAAATTTGTTTCTGACATTTCTTATAACCTTTTAATGAGAGAGCCATTAAATATTGTCAATTCACAAAGCTACCTGAATTTTCAAAGTCCAACCAACATATCATGTGTAACTTTTTGTACCAATTTCTATCATTCTTTGAAAATGTAAATAGCCTTTAACATCACATCCTGTGAATTGTTATAATGACGTAGCAATTAGTTGCCTTGCTTTTTTTTTTATTCTGGATGTTTCCCCTTATAACATTATGACTGCTAATAGGCCATGGGGTGAAAAAAGTTCAGTCCCGTTCCGAAATTTTCATAATACTTTCACTCATTATGATAATTATTATAATAATATTTAAAAGCACCAAAAAAAAGTTTGACCGTCAGAACTTCTGCAAATACGAGAAAATTACGTTTAAATTTACAAAATTGAAAGTTCTTTGCACTAGATTAGCACACGACATTTTGTAAACGTCACTGTACTCGTTCGAATATTGTATTTTTGATAGGTAGTTTATTATTTTCGAAATTCGTATTACTGCTTAAAAAACAAATTTAAAAATTATAATTAGATATAGTTTGTATTTTAATTACAGAATAATATTTTTTAGTCTACTATTAAATTGATTTTGTTACAATAACTTCACGTGTTGTGGTACAGCCAACAACAGTAAACAACAACATGGCGACTAGCGGCGGACAGTGTGCTGGTGTTGTAATAAAGTGTTGTTTTCACCGTGAAGTAATCGGTAATGAAACTCCAGTTCTAGTTCAGCAACCAGATTCTTGAAGATTGTTACTTGTATCAAATTATGGATAGTTTTAGACAGTCATAACCGAACTATAGCTGATAGGATATGCCTCTTGGATGAGGGAAATGATGTGATAAGACAACATCCTTACTTTCCACCCTGTTTGCTATCATCGTTACATCGACACGAAATCAATAGCAATGATAAGTTATCATTACCAAGTGTAGTGTAGTCCCGTCAGTACCTTACCCAGACACATTGTACAATATATTAAAAATATTCTTTTAAAAAATGGTGCTGACTGTGCAGGCCCTACCTACCCCACTTAGCTTCGTGAGTGGATTTCCCGTACGATTGAAAATCGTAACGGTACTGGGTTTGGTCTGCAGGAGTTCGTGCTTCGAACAGGTCATTCCATTCATAGAAAAAGCCTTTTGATGGAGAAAGTACCTTTTTAGCAAAGGTTTGCCTAGGTCGAAACGAATAACTCCGGCTATATAAAATTGATTATAAGATTGAAAAATATTAATCTTGTTATTGTAGTAGTGATAGATACTATGTACACGTTTAATTATTGTTATTTATTCGTTGTCATTATATTTACATTTAAATTTAATATATTGTATAAGTATGAATTATTATGTTCATGTAAAAATTAATCTTATCAATTAAAATTGTATATTTTAAATAATATAGTAGGCAGAGTTTAATGGAGATCATCAAATGCGGTTGTAAGACCGGGTGCAATCAAGGCAGATGTCAGTGCAATAAAATGAACATGAAATGCTCCGATCTTTGTCAATGTACAAACTGTCAGAACAGAGATGATAAAGACACCATGAATGAAGATGCTCAATTTGCAGACAATGAATACCTCTAGACGAAATTTACGTAGATGATTTGTTTGATTGAGATTTGATGTCTTTCTTATTTCATCATTATTATGTATAATGTAGACAATTTAAAAAAGGTAACGTAACCGTGTGACCCTTGAGAATGTAAGAACTTCAGAACCATGAGACTTAACACACAGTCACACAGGAGTACGTAAAGCATTATCTATTTTTATTCATTTTGTACAGGTATATTATGGAAAATTTTTTAAAAGTATAATGTAATGGTGTAGCCCATGAGAATGTAAGAACTTAGAACCATGAGACTAAACACACAATGACACAGGAGTACGTAAAGCATCATCTATTTTTATTCATTCTGTACAGGTGTATTATAGAAAATTTTTAAAAAGTATAACGTAATGGTGTAACCCATGAGAATGTAAGAACTTAGAACCATGAGACTAAACACACAATGACACAGGAGTACGTAAGGCATTATCTATTTTTATTCATTCTGTACAGGTGTATTATAGAAAATTTTTAAAAAGTATAACGTATTAAATGGTGTAACCCATGAGAATGTAAGAACTTAGAACCATGAAACTAAACACACAGTGACACAGGAGTATGTAAAGCATTATCTATTTTTATTCATTATGTATGATGTACAAATGTTTAAAAAAGTACCGTATAATGTAAGTAACGGTGTAACCCTTGACAACTTTAGAACCATGAGAATAATCACACAATGACAAAGGACTGCGAAACGCTTCACTGTATTTAATTATTAAGTATTATATAGAAAATTTAAAAAGTAACGGACTCACTAGAGCGCAAGAAGCTTTTATTAAGATGTATAACATGTGTACATAGAGTTATATATTGTATGAGCAAGCTCTAAGGAAGGGAGGAGAAGCTTTCAGGATATTTGAGAAATAAATATGAATTTTTCATATTACAGTATTAAATTTCAATTTATATTTAATAAAATGTGTCCCAACATGTGTCAACCGGAGTATACAAAACAAATATACATCCATGCACATCATAACAATGCATCAAGTTTAAATTTCCCCACATTTAATTCTTTATTACAATTTGAAAGTAAAATAAATACAATAATTTTAAAAAAGGAATATGAATGTAAAAATACTGTGAGAATGAAGTGTGTACTTTAGAACGCATACAGGGAACATGCAGACACATTGTCAAAAGGAAGACCACAGTCAAAAGAAGTCAAAATACTAATACATTTTCTTTAAAATGTTACACAATTATTGTTTTGAAAAAAATATCAAAGAATTGCAATTACAAATAAAATAAGTTTTTTTGTTGAAATTTCTCATTAATAATTATGCTGTAAGTTGACGCGAATTGACGTGTACTGACGCAATCCGACATTACTTGACACGATTTGACCTAAAATGACGTGATTTCATGCGAGTTGACGCAAGTGGACACTCATGGTATGATCGCGACGTGCTTCTACACCGCTGTATCGCGGTGTGTTTTCCGACGACCAGTAGCCTAGGAACGTACAGTAATAAAACGGTAATTTTCTTAAAATTGCAGAAGATATTTTGGTCAAACTTTCTATATTTGATTCAAGACATATTACTTAACTATTGTAGGCCTATATTTTTTATATTGAAAAGATCGGAACGGAATTCGTTTTCTAGACGTCTTTTGAGCTTCACCCCATGGCCTATAATCGTTTGAATGAGACCATTCTGTAGTATCAATCAAACTTAACTCACCAAATCAATACAGGGCTAGGAATACCCGTACATGTTTGTCTCGCAGTTTACAAGTTTACACAGTCATTTTGTGAAACCTTTAGCAACAATACACAAGGGGCGGAGCTCAACGAAAGGTGCATTGTATGCTTTGACTATTAAAAAAACTACACAACTACAGATTCATGTTTATTTAGAACACTATCATTCATAAAGGTGTATTGTGCTATAGCTAGCTAAAAAAAACCTGAACAATAAATCTCAATAATAGAATTGATTGTATAAATTAAAGCAAAAACCGAAAGGTCCACTGATTAATCTCAGATAAGAAAGTATAATACATACTCCAAGTATTGAAAAAACGATGGCGTGTATTTCAATACTTGGAGTATGTATTATACTTTCCTAAATTAAAGCAAGGTAGTAGCTTTCAGTCGGAAATTATATTTCTTCTATGCAGTGACGGCGCCGACAGGCAGGACAAGAGTTGAACTCTGGCACGTAGTGCCATCTGAAGGGTGTAGGCCCGAGCTAGGGGAAGGGTTTGGGAACAGATATATAAAATATTACCATTCTTATATTCTGGGCACACTTAAAGCATGTCAGTTATAAACCTTAAATCAGCTTGAAAATTCTTTTACATTTGTGCTGTATCTGTTTTACACTTTCTACTATAGTATAAATATCATCTTGTATTACTTACAGTATTATTTATTTAATCTTAATTATTTCAAAACGGGACATATTATAACAGTGTGTGTAAAGAAAAATATAATTATTTCCCTGTATGGACTCATACATTATTTTCCTGTTGACAACAGGAAACGTCAAGACATTCTTCAACAGAAACAACAATTCTTTTCAGAACTATCTATGTGGTGTACCGGAAGCATATAATATATTATTACTTGCCATGCAAACATTCAAACAATAAGATATAAATTGATATTATAAAATGAGTTTTGACAAACCTTCAGGATGGTCATCCTCTAAAGCTTCTGAGCTATTTTCAATTCTGCTTGGTGATGCCTCATCTTGCTGAATCTCCTGGAGCTCTTTGAAGAAGACCTCTAGTTGGGCACTGTTCTTGCTCTGCCGATCAAGTAGTGGAGTCAATCTGATGGAAAAAGAGAGAGAGCAGCTTAGCTCAGTCGGCTAATCTGGTGGTAGCCACTGTGTGTGTGATGAACCGTGAAGATCTCTAGGTCCCCGGTTCAATTCCCATCATTTGCTCTCCTTGCGTTTAAGCCGTTGGTCCCGTGTGCATTATGGCCCATGACACGTTAAAGAACGCAGTACTCTTCAGAAAAGAGTAGGGGATTGTCTCCCGGTGTACTGCCCAATCAACACCAGAAGGACCCCACTGGAAATAAGTCTTCTTCTAGACTTTCGTGGGTGTTTACACATCCAAAGTTTATTAATTCTATTACAATATTTTATTCAGGCAGACTATTCATTCAAAGCTGGCAAACTTAATCATTGATGCCATATACAGTAAATAACCCGGAGTTTTATAAAAGCTCCATGAGTTGTTGAATCAGTTTGTTTGTTGTTTCATTTTATGCTCAAAAAAACCATATACTGTAGATAACAGGGAAAAGGTTACAAAGCAAAACCATTTAAATAAGCAAAGGTAAACATCGGCTTGCTGTGACGGCAGCCAACAAAGGCTCTGAAACAGTGCTCCTCATTTGCCACGAATCGTCAAACCAAAAAGGAAATTTTTCAATTCTCTGGGAAACATAATTCTAATAGGCCTAATACATCACAGAATAGCTTAAAATAACCCACATTACCCTGCTTATCTAGGCCTAGTAGCTTAGTGCCCTGGGCTTCCTCAGACTTTCTGGTCTCCATCAAAGATACTTATCTGGTGTACAGTATTTATTTTATGAGAACTGAAAGAGATAACCAGACAGAAAAATCTTGCAGTTTATACTGTAATCAACGACAGGAAGATATTACATTATATTAATTGCTAGAAAAACAGTTTACAAAGGTACAGTATCGGTACACAGGCACCACTATGAAGAACAGTTTCTACTGTATTTTTATAACAATACTGTCATTGGACTTTACTGTACAATACAAACTATTTAAATATATTGATTAACTTGATTAATATAGTTATTCAATAACAATTTAATCTCTCACTATCATTTATCCCAATACATAAAATATATAAATATTTAACAAACACAAAATTATAAACACAATTATAGAATTGAATTTTACAGTATTTGACTTTAATTTGAACTTATGACCTCTGACCAGAAATAGCTTTACTTTGCAGAATCACTTTGTTTATAATACCACTCAGATCCTTCCTAAAAGCATCCAATTGTTTCTGACATTTTGTTTGTTCATTTTGGTCCGTTCTTACTTTTAGACAAAATTCAAAGTTTGTCTGAAAGTTACTTTCACTGTTTAGTAAATTATTCAGTATGCATTTGTTTATTTATTAAAATAACTCCAAAGTGATCATAACATATTTTCTCTTTTTTTCTTCAGTTATATAATTTCATACTGTGATTTAAATTTAGTATAATTTCCAGAAAATTATCATCAATATTTTATGTACTGTCGAAGTCAACAGATATAGCAAAAACCAGAGCCTTGCAGGTGTCAATGTTCCTTTGCATGATACATG